TTTATGACAGTTAACATTGGGTGGGTACACATTTGTTTAGTAATTAGCTTAACAAAAATTGTTTCGACTTTTAACAAGGATAATATTAGGTTGAGTACAAGCTTATATCAATTTGTTGATTTGTTGAAAATATGAGAACACACCAACTCAAAATCGTACAATTTGGCCTCATTACGTAAGTTTCCCCTGTCACTCAATCTCTTCTGTAGTATGTGTAATGTTTTGTCTCTTAGCACCCAAAACTTTACTTCCAAACTTAAGTTTGATGTAGTATTATTTAAGTGATGGTTTATATAGAATTTATTGTCAATGGATGATATATTTTAAGAGGATTTTTAGGAGTTTCTGGTGCGGAACAAATACTGTAAATAATGTGTTTCTGGGTTAGTGTGGGCACTTATCGGGGTATCTAATGTAGACTTCTTATCTAGACTTTAACAGGGTAATGTAAGAATAAACGATTTTGAGAAAAAGGATGATAATAAGTTTTTATTTCAAATGCATTTTATATTTTTTACCCCTTCATTTACTAAAGAACAATTTTTTGAATTTGCGTTTTTAAGATATTAAACAAAATGTAGCGGCTTTGAGACGGGTATTAAGAAAATAGTTTCACACAAAGCGTTTTTTGTTCTTTTGAGGTGCAATGTTTAAAATTGTTTTGTTAATTTCAAAACATTTAAGCATACTGCAACTGTTAAAGTAAGTTATTTAAGACGTCTTCGCTCAAAGGCAAAGGATTTTTAATATTTTAGTTTTCTTTGATATTTTGCATGAAAATGTATTTTTCGGAAATGATTTGTATTAAGTTTATTAAGTTTTCACTTAAAAGTAATATAATTACCTAGTTGAATTTTGGGATGATATTTTTCGATTATATTGTATATTAGCAAATAATTCGATATTATTAGATTTCATAATCATACTTTAAAAGTTAAATTCGACTAAAAAATATTATTGTTTCATAACACTTGGACGATTTGGACACATTATCCAACTACATCGGTTATAGTTAAGTTATTAAAAACTGTTGACAAATTGTCAACAGTTTTTAATAACTTTCCACGTTATGAACCGATACCAAGTTCAAGTTCATCTGATGAGGAAAATCCGGAAATATTCTTAAGAAGAAAACTATAGAAAAAGAGAAAACAGATTTGATGGTTATGATGATGTTGAGTTTATCCACAGATTTATCAACAAACTGACAAGAAAATATAATATTTTTAAAGAAAGCAATAGTTGTGCACCAAAAATGTTTCAGGAGTGGAAGTAGTTTCCCAATGGTTCTTACACTACGCTACTATGCGACTGGTAGTTTCTTAATTGCAATGGGAGATTTTATGGAAGTGTCAAAACCTTCAGCGAGTCGAATAGTAAAAAGGGTCTCGGAAGCAATTACAACTATAAGACCAAGGTTCTTTGGAATGTATGAAAATAACAGGGAAATGGTAAAAAGTGCTGCTGAGCTACCAATTAGTGAGTTTCCCTAGTGATTTGAGCAATAGACTGCACATTAATAAGAATAAAATCACCTGGTGGAGATGATGCAGAAATATTTAAAAGGAGAAAGGGCTTTTTTGCTTTTAACGTGCAGACAATTTCAGATGCTAATCTGAAAATTCGGAACATTGTCGTTCGTTGGCCTGGTTCCATGACCAAACAATATTTAACAATTCACGAGTGAACAACAAAATGGAAGATATGGAAGATACGCATTAATAGGAGATACTTCAAGAAATAAACACACCTGCTGAAAATTTGTATAATGAAAGCATAATTCGTTATAAAAATGTTGTCGAAAGGCAATACGGTGTTTGGAAACGTCGATTTTCAGTATTATCGATCGACAGAAATAAGATTGAAATTAGAAACGGCCATGTTGGTGATTGTGGCAACTGCGGTTATATACAATATTGTATATAACCGCATCTGGAAAATCATCATTCATTTCGACAGCTATATATATAGCTGTCGAAATGAATGATGATTTTCCAGATGACTGGTTTGAAGATCCGATTGCGAACATGGGAAGACATGTTAGACAACTCCTTATAAATAAACATTTTACAAGATTATAATATAAAAAGTATTTAATAAAATGGTTATGTTCTTTCAAAAATACTTTGATTACAAAACAATTTCTATTAATTACTATATTACATATGAGTACATTAGATGCAAAACTCTGTATTTGCAGGATAAGTGATTTTAAGAAAAACATGAAAAACCGCTATTAAGATCATTTTTCAAAAAAAAAATGCAAAAACTGTATAGACGTGCTTTTGCATCATTTTTATTCAAAAAAGTAAAAAAAATTCTTTAAAATTAGGTACTTTAGTGAATAATTGAAATCAAAAGATTTATAAACACAGTTTTGCATCTTCCTTGTTCAAACATCAAGTTTTGCAAGTGAAAAGTGCAAATAAATACCAAAAATTAATCAGGTAATTGTTATGTCGTCACGTGATGTGTATGCTTGCGACGTGATTGGTCAACAGCAAATACCGAGTTTTACATCTACGTTAAATTGTTAAATGTATTTTATTCTAAAAATATTAACTTATGCATCTGGTTTACTTAGGTATGCTGTCGGCAGTCCAGTAATGTACATATTATATGAATATTTATTATATTTTTATAATGTTACTACTCTTTTAGGCCTTTCTGATTTGTTGAACAGCTCGTTTAATTTTTTTGCTTTCTACAGGATCTGAAGGCTCGGCATTCTGCAATAATTTATTTTATTAAATAAGTAAGAAATTTTATACCTTCTAATAGGAAATTCCTATTAGGAATAGAAAGTTCCTATAAAAATTATACATATTATGTGCTTCTCACAATAAATTTCAAAAATAGTCTGATTTACATCCAAGAATATTATATCAAAGGATGTTAATGGATAGAATGACGGTTCCTAGAAAAAAAATAAACAAATATAAATTACTATACTATAAAAACTGTATTCAGATATGAAAAGTTATAAAAAAGAGTAAAAATAATACTTACTAACATTTTCTCACTAGTTTGTTGCTCACTTTCGATATTATTTTGTGTGGTGACTAGAGTGTCCTAAACAGAACATTAAACACTGAAAAACTATAGACCTGCTTATTATATTAATTAAATTATTACCTTTTTTTGATTTATTACTGTTCATAGCCAAAACACAAAAATAAACTGTCAAATTTTGTAAATTTTCGGCTGTGTCTAAAGTATCATAATGGATTTAACTAATGAAAATTTAGCTAAAATTTCGAATGGGTAGGATTATGAAACACCTTAACTTTACCTCTCTTTAAAGAGGACTTGAAATAAAACTTTATCTTTAGTTAAAATACATTTTAAAGTTTGATTATGAAACTGGCTGTTATTTATAATTTATAATTGAACAAAAATTATGTTAACCAATTTGTAAACTATAAAATCAAATTAAATATATTTTTTTAATTAAAAGTTTTTTATTAAAACACCAAATAAATAGGTTGTTTGAATAATTAACAGAAACACAGCAATGTTTCCAATGTAGGTACGTAAAAGTTTCAAAACACATAGTTAATAAAGTTCAAATACAAATTTCAGCAGGTAATTTAATATTTTTAAATTAACTTCACCCTAGGTTACATTCTCAATTTGCCACTTTAAATATTTGAACATGCTTGCTCAGTTTTCGTGAGGAACTTTTTAAAAATATCTTCAGAACACTTAATAAACTTGCCTGCTAAAAAATGCATACAAGAATAAAGTCAATGATGCTTCAAAATCGCTGAAGAATGTTTCCATTGTTGTTTTTATTGGTACTCAACTGACGGTATTAAGTTAAAATATGCTGATTAAGTCGATGCGTTAATAAATTTATGGCGATATTAAAAAAGCCGATGGAATTGCTCCATTACAATTTTATTGGGGCATTTATTTATTAAATATTTCATTAGAGCATAAAATTATTTTTTTACAAATCCATAAGATTCTTAAATTTTAATGCATGATATCATAAAATTAGGTTGTATCGTAAAATTGCAGGGCTAAATCCTGTAATTTCAAGAGTCTTAAACTATAAAAGCTTAATATCAATCCTTAACATAACATTTCACTGACAATAATTAAAACCAATTGAAAAATTATTGTCACTACAACTATTCATGTAAGGATTCTTCAACTGGGTATTACGTTCTTGGAAAGTGGGTCACACTTGAATGGACTCACCTATGCTCGGAAAATACATAAAGGTCTATTTAAAAAACATCTTGTATGTATCTAGTCCTTAATATAAACCTCAAAACACTTTGCATCCCCTGTCCTGGGGGATTTCCTTTCATTTTACGAGTAGCGATTCCAAGGCAATTGCAAATGCCATTCCTTTGTGGTACCTAGTTTACTACCTTAAGATACATTCTCAATCCTTATTTAAATATTTACACAAAATCATGTGTTTTGGTGTAGGTAATAACGAGTTTTCTAAAAATAACGCCAACTTAAAAAAATGCATCAACCACGTTCAGTGCTATAAAGTGGGATTTTATACCCACTGCAATCACCCAATTGGATTTGTGTATTTCGGCAATGAAAGCATGTTGTTTGGATTTACGGTTTAAATAAACTTCCGCGATATTTCCAAATTAAGCTAATTAAATCGATGCGCTCGATAAATTTCATAGCGCCACCAAAGTACATAAACTGAATCACTCCATTGCGACTTTATTGGCGGTTTTATTAATAAATAAAGTTTTAATCGGTCGCACAACGCACAGATTATCGACCGAAGTAAACAATTCAGGCGGCCAAAAATCCACACGGAATTTATCTCGATTGTAACTCATTGACGCGCGATTTTATTATTCAATTAAAAAGCGCCGATGTCACCGGATGATCCGACGCAAGTTTTAATCGAACCCCGCCGAATATTTGACAGTGCGGTTTAACGTCGCGACGCCTTAGATGTCGAGATCCGTCAAAGTCAGGTCTACCAACTGAACGCGAAATAATTCAAGGGTGTTTACGGGGTGCCGATCAAACACAACAAACAACAGGGGGAGAAACGGAGGAGAGCCTTTAAATTACTTTATGAAATTTCTTTGGGATTATGCGGTGAGATGTGAAATAACAAGACGGGAAATTAAGTGAAAAATTAAGGCCAATTTGTGCTGTACATACGTATGTTTCGTTCTTCGCGGATTAATGGGTTTCTCATAAACAACCCCTCGAGAGGTGGGTTAATGATGACGGGTCGTCAGCTTAATTAGTAGAGATATACTTGGCAATAACGTGTTGGTTATGTTGTCTCAAATCGGTGCATGTGTTGGGATTTATGTCGCCGATTTCGAGAGCAAACGATAAACAATCAATATCCGAAAGATAAATTGGGATGAACCGTGCTGTTCCTGCAATCGAATCAAGGCGTATCTGGGGCATAAGTCAAGCTAATATGTCACGGGAAATTAAAGTGCTTTAATTAAATTGAATGTTGCAGGTAGCGCAGTTTTTGCAGGAATAAATTTAATCGAATATTAGCTGTTAATTCTATTTAACTAAGCCTATCATAATTTAATTTTACCCTGTAATTTTATTTTGTACACCATTGTTAAAATTGGGATTTTTAATCTAAAAATGTAAATCCAATTAAATTTAACACTGGCTCCCTCGAAAACATTCCTTTGTTACACGTTTTTACAGTATCGGATAAAGAGCGTATTTTACAGCCTGACTGGCTCTAAAAAGGATAATTTATCCAGGCTACAGGACAACGTGTTATCAAAATTTGGCGCAAAAATTTCAAACTTTGTTTTATAAGCAAGTCTTTGTTATATTACAAAAAAATTAAAAACGATATTTTCGATTCCAACATCAATTACTTGTCAAAGATTAAAACTAGAATGCAGTTTTCGACAAAGAGGGATTTGAATGTTCTTGGCAACCGCTCAAATGTAACCCAACATTTAAAATACAAGGGAGCGAATAGAGAGACTTAGAAACGTACATTTTCAAATAATTATGAAGACTTTGATGACGAGCAAAACTTTTTCATTTTACTTTGTTTTCATTTCGCCAAGTTAAGTCGCAAATAAGTAAAATCAATGCGACAAGTGTCCCTTCTTGACGTTACAAACGATTTCCAAAATTCGTTTTATTCATCAACGAAATTCCCTGTCGCGACGCGTCGTGAGACAAATTTGTTTATACTCACAATGTTATTAATAGTCAACGCCGCGGCACATGCAAAGTATGTTCCAATTTTATGTCGACAATTTCATTACTCGATTACCTATGAGTATGTGTACGAGTATAAGGAACTCCTAAAGTTATTTCACCCCCTTTCAGTTCTCCTAAGTTTCCCGCAACTGCCCCGGTTTGTAAATCTCGCACAAGAGGTCGTGGATGACAGTGTCGATGGTTAAGGCCACTCCCGGAATTTTGTCACCGGGCCGGGAGATACGCCCGATTTAGGCTAGTGGAGTGCGGGACAAGGAGGAAACATTTTGGTTTTTGGGGGATATTAGGCTGACCTAAAACTTAGTACAATCCTAAATTCCCCTCAACCAGGGATTTAGTAATGCCCCCATTTATTCGAGATTCATGAATGAGGTTTGGACCTATACTTGCTGGTCTTGTAGTCTGATGAAATTCGGAACTGTTTTAAGCACTGTGCGTTGTCTTCATTTTGTGGTAGAAATTGTATTAACGTTTTCTTTTCTAACAATTAGAAGTTGCATTTATATTATTTATTCTATATAAGGCGTTGTTCGATGCCTAAAATTTAGAGGTGTTTAGTGGTTTATTATGTTTATGTTAGGCAAATATCGGAACTGGTTGTTTACTTTAGTTTTGTTAGTTAAGTTTTAAACTTTTTAATTCTGTTGGGGCTTGCCTCCTAAGTTTATGCTTATTTATGTTTTGAGACGTTCTTACCTAATGATTGGTTTATTTACACTGTTACGCTGTTTTCATTAATAATGATTGATTATTGTTAAGTTTTGTTGCGAATTTGAGTGTTAGGTCATGCGATTAATTAGTACTTATCAGATTTTTGCAGATGATGGCCCCTTCCACTCTTAGTTAGACTTTTTTGTAGTTTACATAAGGTGATTCCTATTGGCCTGGGGTTAGATCTCCAGGTATGCTGTCATTTATCACTTGCTTTTTAATGCACTAATTTAATGTTTCTATTTACAACAGGAACAATGATTTTTATTGTCCAGGTATTAAATCTTTGCACTAATTTCGCACAGTATTTTTAATTACACTGTATGAGAGATTTTTATGTTTCTAGTTATTAAGAGCGATCGAATTCGTTCGAGAGCAAGTCTGCCCATCTGTATAGGTTACTTATGTACGTCAAAAACTTGGGTTAATGAATGATAAAGAAAAGATTTGTGATAAAAAACTATCTAGATAACAAAAACGAGTAATAAAACTTATGTATAAAAAGTATATAATTAAAAAGTTTTCAAATTTAATAAATTAAAGTTTTTTAGCGCTGAAACACAACTATTTCGCAGTTTGTTTCTATGAGCACGTTAATAAATTAGCTCGGCGAAAAATCTCGATATCATCAAAACCGAGTTCAGCGCTGTGCGGATGAAAGCAGCAGCAAACAAAATTAAAAAAGTATGCCGAAATAAACCGGAAATAGACACTTGTTTAGCAGGAAACAAGCGAAACATTTTTAATTCGTTTCATCGTGCGGGTTTCAGGGGCTCGAGGAATTATTGAAAATCTATCAATTTCAACTGTCGAATTTTTTCGTTAATGGGATTTTGGGCCAACGGAAAGTACGGTTTTTAGTTCATTTATTGACCGATTATTGCAGATTAATGATCTATGAAGGGTTTTTATTGTGTTAAATATTTTGGTTTGCAGTTTTGTAAGAAAAATAACTCACACAACCAACTTTTCCAAAATCGCCATTTTCGGAAAATTATTTAGTTATACATGGTGTTTTACATTCGTTGTCCATTAGAAGGGAACGAAAAAAAATATCGACATAAAATTTTAAAAGCATTTAAAATCTATTTAAGTCTGTTTTTCTAAAATATTTTTAACAAAATGTTACTTCAGGTTTAACCGGAAGTGACATCAACTTTTTTATTTCAAGTAGAACACCCCATATATTTTTACATTTTTAAATTCTACATAAAATACTATACCATGTCCTATACTGTAAACACGGGTGGCTTTAGCTCACTTTCAAACTTAAGCTTAAAAATTTTGTGGTTTTAACAATCATAAACATTAAATGTTGTATACCAAAATTTGAGTCTTGAGTTGCTCTTTCATAATAACTATGTTATAATATTACATAGGGCTGAGTTTCAAAAATAAAAATTAAAAACTGGGTGTGCAAAGTTGCGGGTAACTTTGTCTCACAGTGTATTTTCCGTATAAAATTAACTCAATATTTTATTTTATTTTTATTAGACCTATGTTAGCAGCGACATCTATCTATTGCAAGGGATTACCGATAAAAAAAATAAAAAATCGACCTGTAGTTAACCAAGTATCATCATTCCAAAGGATTGCGCATAAAATAGAAATTGTAACGCGTATATTTCTAAGAGTTTTGCACTAATGCGATATATACAATTTTAAAGTGTAATAAATCCCATTTCTTTTTTAAAACACTGATTTTCCTGTAATATAAACTCAATAGAATCGCTTAGTTGACAGGTTTAGACCAACAAATTATAAATGTTAATTTTATCGAGCTCAAAAAGATTTTTCATAAAAGGGTTAAAGTCACCCGCGGGGATCAAAGTCACCCGTGTTTAGAATACCTAAACTTAATATAAACTGACACTGACAACATAAAATAAACGTAACAAAACATAATATACAAACTGAAAAATAAAATTCGTATAGCTAATTCTAATATTGAGATATAATTCAACATGAAGTGCGTCTCCACTTATAATAGCACAAATGTCGAAAGATTAAATAAATATGTATTCATCGACCAACAAAAAAAATTTGTAAAGATAGAATTAAGTTAATATAAACTGAAAAATAAAAAACTAATTAGAAAAACCAATCCAACTATCTTGGATAACGTAGCACATTTATAGAAAATTATGCTCCAATGGCATGTTGCACAACTTATTTTTCTCTGTGCATTTGTCAAATTTTAACGAACGAAAATTAATAACTAGAAAACTTTGGGTATAAAACATGGTATATTAATTTTACTCAGAATTTAAAAATGTAAAAATATATTGTGTGTTCTGTTTAAAATAACAAACTCCGGTTTAAAATATTTTAGAAAAATAGATTTATCCACATGTGGATTATAAACGCTTTTAAATTTCAAAACGATATATTTTTCCGGATCCTCATTTTTTCTATGAATTCACTAAACTCAATAAAATTTAATTTCGACAAAACGTTAAGATAGATTTTTCTTTGTATAGATAGCAGAATAGAATTTCAAATTTTAAAGTACGTGTATTTCAATTTTCCTGCTTCCTTTTAGTTCTAGTCCTGAAAAATCAGTAAAGAACTTTTTCTTTTCAAATGCGCAAAATTTTCATTTTATTTTTCAAATTTGGTTAAAAACCATACGACCAAACTTAATATCAAGTCTTTAGGAAAGATAAACCAAAAATCCTGCGACATCGTATAAAATATTTCAAGCCCAATAAACAAAATAACAAAATAAATCAACACTTTTATTTTTCAGATGACTGTCAGACGTGAAAACTTTGAAAACTGCACAAATAACTTAAATAAAGTTCCAAACTTTTCAATGCATTCAATCAATTACAAACTCGAATTTTTAGTTCTGATTCAATACGGTTTTGACTGTAAAATTTATTGGTTGTGACATCGTTACACCAAAGATGTGATTGATTTGATAAACTTCGTCTTTACTAAATTTATTATTTTGACAACATCAATTTTTGTCAACCAGGCAATTTGGGAGCCTATAGGTATTTTACCATTTTTCCATAGTTTTAGTAGCCCTACTAAAAACGTTATAAATAAAAAAATAAACTAAAAAAAAAACAAAACAAAAAAATATCAAATCAATCTTAACCACAAATTGCGAAACTCAAAAACATAAATTCTTGTTTTAAAACATTAAAATATATATAAATAATATATATCTGGAACTTTAAAATATATTTATATGAATGAATAAAAATGTAAACACATATAAAACCATAAAAATATCAGAGCAATCGGAATACCCTCCCACTGAAATCCAATTGTTTTTG